TGCCTGTCTCATCCTGGCTGGGGGGCTCAGTAGGTTGGAGCATCGCCCAGTACACCAAAAGGTTGCAGTTCCATCCCCAGTCGGGGCGCATACCAGAGGCAACCGATCGATGTTTATCTCTCTCTTTTTCCCTTTATCTAAAATCAATAAAAACATATCAGCAGACATAATTCGGAGCAGTTTTTCCAGTGAATGGTGAAAGGCACCAAGAGTTAACACACAAGACAAGTATTGCTATTTTAGATGCTGTTTTCAATATTAACGTCTAAAAATGGTACCTGCTGCTGACCAGAAAAATCAGCCGTTTTGCCAGGCCAGGCTCTCTGGCCCGGTGCTGACCCTAATGAAAGCAATCAGGCCTCCTACATCGAAGCTCAAAACAAAACCACCCATAACCCCATTTTAAAGAGCAAAACCACAAGCCACAGCTTCAGTCATTGCCGGGGATGCTTCAATTTCTTATTTACCATTGAAAAGTTGCAGAAAGGCCTCCCTTAATCAGCCGTGAAAGTGGAAACTGGCTGCCTTTTGGGTTTAAGAAACTCAGGGAGAGAGAGCCACTCGAAAGAACATGAGTGCAGAGAAGCCGGCTCAGCTCTTCCCGCTCTGGGCGGTTCTGTGGCACTGGGGTAAAGGTGGAGAGCACTGGGCATTAAGTCCATCAGAAGCTAAGTGCAGGGAAACAAGGCCACCTGCAGACCTGTTCACAACCAGAACAGGAGAAAGAGTCTATGGAGCTGAGGCCATGTTGCTAGAAAAAGGGCATGTACAGAAACCATTTGTAAAGTTTATACGAGGCATTGGGAGCCAGGACGAGAGCCAGACCCAATGCTTAGGTAGGATACCAAATAGTCCTCTTTGTGAAAAATTCACTCGTTGCATAAATTTAATACACATATACTGCTGGTCTAGAGGCCACCCATTAACAGTGCGATGTAGTGGAAGGCACATGGGTGCAAAGGCCATAACCTGGATTCAAACACTGACTCTGATACTTACCAGAGCTATGGGGCTGTGGATAGGCTACTTTGTAAACCACACTTTCAGCATCTCAGTATAAAATAAGATGGATATGATTTTCCAAGACCAGCAACTAGCACATAGTAGATGCTCAATAAATAGTATCTTCAATTAGTAGTAGTGATGATGGTAGAGTGGGATTATTATTACATAATTAAAGTATATGTTACATATATAATATGTTACATATCTATCTATCTATACATGTACATAAATAAATCATGACAGATGGTAAGCAATAGCCTTGGGCTTCGAATAAGCTAAACAAGGAGTGAGGCCATGTGCCACCTGCTTGCTCAGCTGTCCAGGAATTCCCCATGAAATCAGAAGTAAGATTAATGTGTTTGGCAGGAGAAATGGCTCTCAGGAACAGGTGTGTCTGACTGAGTGGATTCAGGGCAGAGTAGGCAAGAGGTGGCCTGGGTGCTGTTCTGGGGCCTCGGTTTATCTTCAAGTACCCTGGAGAACTTTTGATAAAGTTGATTAGGGCCTTATGCGCTGTGAAGACTCCTACAGACATGATATGTAAGTTCCTTTGTAGCAGGAGCTGTGAGAGAGGTTACCCTAAACTTTGAATTTCCACCATGTAGCACTCAGTACTTGTTTGTTGAATGATTGATTGATTGAAGGCTTAGTCTATCAAACTTAGGGATCCTCTTGCTTTCGGGCAATACTCACCTTCCCTTGTCAAGTTCCTCCCAAACCTCACCGTTCATGCCTGGTGCAGGACACACAAGGGAATCAGTGGGCACATACTTGAACAGTACAAGGAGGCAGGCGGCCTGTAGATTCTCTTTTGGGTCTCTCTGATATTTGAAACATCACCTTGGCTGATGATACCCCAGGGTCTTCTTTGCCATGGCTCGAATTCCACCTTTACCAAATGCTTAAAGCTTAGCTGGAGTCAGACCCATAAAGTCACGTCTCTGCTTACCTGAGATCTCAAGGTGATGCGTCTCTTTGGAAAGGACATGTCTAACTCATTCAAGGAGCAGCAGCATTGGTGCAGGGAAGAGACGTGACTTTGAAATCAAACCAAACCAGTAATTGACTCTGCCACTTATTAACTGCATGGACAAGGGCAAATTGTAAAACATCTTGGCCTCAGTTTCTTCATCCATAGGACAGGAAGAGGAGGGCCACCTGGTAGGGTCATGGCCACATTAGAAATCAGATATAATGTTGCAGCCTGCTTAGCACAGTGTGTGGCTTGCGATTATTTCCATGGTGATGGAAATTATCTTCATGAATATAATGCCTGGTCACCAAGAATCACTCTCTCCTTCAGTAGTTATTTATTAAGCACCTTCTATGTGACAGGAACAATTCAAGGCACTGTGACTATAGCTGTGAACAAAATAGACGAATCTAGTGGGGTTTATATTATAGGTGGTGGAGAGAGAAAATAGAAAATAGACATAATGTGTCTAACTGTATCAAGTGTTGTGGAAAAAATAAAGAATAAGGGTGCATGGGATGCCACTGTGAAGGCAGTCACCTTCTCAGAAAGGGGGTAACATTTGAGCAGGGACCAGAATTCAGTGTGAGAGGACGCCATGCAAGTCTCTGGAAGAAAAGCACTTTAGCAGAGGGAACAGCAAGTATAATGACCTTGCCTAGTAAGGATACTTGGCATATTTCAAGACTGTGAAGAGGCTGAAGTGGCTACATGTAGTAGGTGAACAGAAAGTACTAGAACCTGAGATCAGAGAGCAAGATGTGGACCATGTTATGAAAGAAATCCTCAGCTATGGTAAAAATTTGGACTTTGCTCAGTGAGATGAGAAGTTGTATCAGTTAGCGTTTGCTGTGTAACAAGTAATCCTGAAACTTTGTGGCTTCACATAACAAACTTTTATTTTTTGCCAGTCTGTGGGCTGAATGAAGAGTCTCTTCCCATCGGGGTTGGTCTGGCTGGGGCTGAGCAGTCTGGGATGGTCTCACTCGCATGCCTAATGGTTAGTTTGATGTCAGTTCCGGTAGCGACCAGGTGTCTTTCATCTTGCAGCAGGCTAGCTGGTGGCTGCCAGTTTCCAGAGAGCAGCAAGAAAGGGCAATCTCCAATGCACAAGCACTTCTCCAAACTGGCCAAGGCAAGTCATGCGGCCAAGGCCAGAGTCAGTGTGGGAGATGACCAGTCATGATGTGGAGACTGGGGGTAGAATTATGATGGTCACTTTTTCAGAGAGTCTACCTCAAAAGCACTGGAGGGTTTGGACCAGAAAAGTGACATTATCTGATTCACGGTTTTAAAGAAGCTATGATAACAAGGATTTTGTAAGGGAGAACATAGCCAGAGCAGAGGAAGTAGTCAGGCTCTGGGCCACTGGAAGGCAACGGTGTTTGACTGGACTGTGCCACAGAGACAGAGGCCCTGCAGTTCATGATGCTGTGTGGCTCGAAGGTGCCATTATCAAGGGGAGAAGCACCGACACACACGTCCTGCCCCCACTTTCTTGGTATTTTAGCAGATGCATTTTCTCTATCTTGCCAAATTGGACCTTTTCACATCCCTAGAAACCAAGGTGTCAGTGCAAAAGGGCTGAATGGGAAAGAACCTCCAAATCGCCCACATTCTAACAGAGATATTGTCTAATCACCAAGAACTTGGTAATTACAGGGGGAACAGACCACTGAGGACTGCAATAGCTCACTGTAAGTAATAACAAAACCTCTTAAGGTGAAATTAAACAACAGTCATGTTTCTTTTTCTTTCTTTCTTCAACAGAAAATATGATGCTGGCATGCTCATCGCGTGAGACAACCTGGGCCACTGACAGCCACAAAGCACAAAACAAAACAAACTCAGAGAAGAAACGAGAGCGGTGTTTCCCTGGCGTCTACAAGAAGCGCTTTATTTTTCCTCTAGATTTCTTTTCTAAAAAAGCAAAACAAAACAAAAAACCAAAACTGTAGCAAACACTTAAAGACACAAGACAAACTTCAGGTGATGATATTCGAGCATGCTCTTTTATTAAGCGTAGGATGGGAGGGGTCGCAGGAATGGCAGGGGGGACGCTAAAGCAGAAGCACCGCGCGGCTGTGACCCTCCACCGTCACGTTGCTTCTTGAAACTGTGAATGAAGAAATGTAGGGAAGGACTTTTTACCGCCACCCTGAAATTATCCTGTAAGTTCCTACGGACACAATGCTTCCTTCCTTTCCTGCCTGTCAGGGTAT